ACCATCTGAATTGTTTTGTTTATCTGTCACTAGAAAGTAAGCTCCATGGGGGCTTTATCTTTCTTATTCACTGCTAAATTATCAGCCAGTACTATGGTTGGCATATAGTAGGTGGCATATAGTAGGTGCTCAATAAACAAAATAAATAATTACTAATATTTATTGAAGCTTTGCTATACGTCACTGGCTGTATGTAGTAAATACATAAGAGTTCATCTTTTTCATTTAATCCTTTCAAACACCTTGGGAAGTATTTTATCTCCATTTTACAGATGAGGATACTGAGGCAGGAATAAATTAAGCAACTTTCTTGAGGCCACAAAACCAGCAAGAAGCAAACCTAAGACTTGAATCTAGTCTGTATAACTTCAGAGCCCATGATTTTAACTACTGGACCATGCTCCTCTCAAATTACAGAAAGAGCAATAGGTAGCTAAGTATGAATTCATTTAACTTACTAATTTTTTCTCTGATGTCATGCATGTATGCTTATTGTCATGGTCAGCAGGAGTGGAACTGTTTATTGGTGGGTTTTTTTCCTACTCTACTCCTGGTGACAGATCTAAAAAAAATATGGTTTTGTTTAAGCTGGTTATAAGTACTTAGATATTTGTTATATTATTTTCTGTAGATCTGAAATATTTAATTCAAAATTTAACACAAAGGAACTGCTATAAAAATAGTCCAAAATATTATAGCCAAATCTTTCTAAACAAAAACCAAAATCAAAACACAAGTCTAGTTACACTAAAAGTGTCTAAAAATAAGGCCTCTGAATTTATGTTTCCCTTTAAAAAAGCACACACATGATCAGTGTTTTGCAACAGTTATCAACTGTATGATCAGTGTTTTGTAATAGTTACCAACTGTATGATCAGTGTTTTGTAACAGTTACCAATTTAAACTCTCCTAATTAACATATATGAAGTACATTGGTCTGGGCTTTATTCTTTTGATGTTCTCATTGTACCTAAGACAATCTTATTATAGACATGATAGTTGAACCTCTAAAAGCAATCTATAGTTGGTAGGATTGTAAAATGGTTCAACTACTTTGGAAACCAGTAGGCAATTCCTCAAAAAAAAACAAAAAACTGCCCGGCCGCAAGACTCAGTGGTTGAGTGTGGACCTATGAACCAGGAGGTCATGATTCCATTCCCAGTCAGGGTACATATCTGGGTTGCAGGTTCAATCCCCAGTGGGAGGTGTGCAAGAGGCAGCCAATCAACGATTCTCTCGCTCTCATCATTGATGTTTCTATCTCCTCTCTCCCTCTCTCTTCCTCTCTGAAATCAAATTAAAAAGAAAAAGAAAAAAGACTCATTCTTATACACCCACAACTTCTCATGGCTTCTCCATCTAAGACCTGGCATCCAAAAGGTCCAGTCCCTAGGCAGAGGGACTCGGACCCAACAGTTAGTGCAATGGGCAGGGTTTGACAAGGAGCCTGCCCTGAGAGTTGGCGTAGCCGAGCAGAATTCAGAAGACATATGGACCCAGAGCAGCAGTGCGCCAGCTGTGCTCTTGCTGTTTCTGACACACACCCTTCTACCTTTCCCTAGTCACTCCTTCTTTCATTTCTCTGAACCTTAGTCATCCTGAAGTTGGTAGTGGGGCGACACAGGGCAAAAGAGTTGTCCCTGAGACTCAGCCAGCCCCCAAGTGGCCCTGATCAGATGCCATTTGGTCAGAAGCCAGACTTGCTGTTTAGAAAAACACATCCGTTCTGGGCACCACTACCTAAGGGAAAACTATCAAAGGCTGCAAAAAATAGCCGTCAAGATGATTAAAGAGTTAGAAAATAGGGCCTGTGCACCTAGGTTGTTTATGTTAAGGAAGTGAAGGCAGAAAGGGCAAGGCTGGGCTGCTGAGAAACAGTTTTGCAAGAGTCAGAGCCAAATAAAACACAAAAAAGATACTGGTAAGTCTGTGCTGTAGGTAGGAGGGGTGAACGGCAGGGCAGTGGAAGGATCCTGGCAGGCCCATTGAGACCAGGGCCTGAGGTCAGGTGACCTCTTCCAGAAAAAGGATGCAAAACTATCAACACAAAACTGCTGGGCCCTCCCTGGGCTTTGGAAGGGGTCTGTGCAGGTCAGGGGCCTTGAAGCATAAAAGCTCTGTTGATTTCACAATAAATTCGCCTCTAAGGGTGTAATGAGTAGCTGGAAACAGGGTGGGGACTCTGGCCAGCAGCTCTTGAGGAACTGAGGCCTCCGTCCAGCGGCCTGTGAGGAACTGAATCCTGCCCAATGTCATGTGAGCTAGGAAACAGATCTTTTCCAGTTCAGCTTTAAGATGACCAAGGCCTCAGCTAAACCATGCCTGTATGCCGGATCCACAGAAACTGTGAGAGAATGAATGTGTGTTATTTTAAGCTACTACATTTTGGACACATTTGTTATGCAGCAGTAGATAACTAATACACAAGTGGAGTGGTGCAAATAAGCACAGTGTGTGATGGGTGCACATGGGAAGGTGTGTGATGGGTACTGAGGCACGGACAGGCTGCATCCTTTGAGACTTCTGAGAGGAGGGCAGGCTTGCATTGCATTTCAGAGGCTAGAGAGGCATCAGTTAGGGGAAGAAGCAAGAGAGGGCATTTCCAGGTAGAGTGCAGCCCTAGACGGTTTGGCTCAGTGGATAGAGCGTTGGCCTGCGGACTGAAGGGTCCCAGGTTCGATTCCGGTCAAGGCATGTACTGAGTTGCAGGCACATCCCCAGTAGGGGCTGTGCAGGAAGCAGCTGATTGATGTTTCTCTCTCATCGATGTTTCTAACTCTCTATCCCTCTCCCTTCCTCTCTGTAAAAAAATCAATAAAATATATATATTTTTAAAAGCAAAGCTTGGATTTTATTCCACGGGACTGTGAAGACATTGGAGGGATTTTAATGCTAGTAGGTACAGTACTCTTTGCTCTGGGGAGGAATTTGTGTGCCTTTCTGTAGCTCTGTTTTGGAATTAATGAGCATGTATATGCTTTAGGAGTAAGTTCTGGGGATGCAACATTGGTTAGTCGTTTGCACCCCCTGGTGGACTTGGTGGCTCAGCTTGCATGGTTTCAGATCAGCAATAGCCAAGTTGATGAGCAATTTATTCTTTCATTCATTCAACCAATAGTTATTGGGTGCCTACAATGTGTCAGGCTCTGTTCCAGTGCTGAAGTATATCCACGAACAAAACAAACATGTGTGCCCTCAGGGAACTTGCATTCTGGTATGTTGAGGTGAGTGGGGGGAGAGACATTAAGCCAAGTTCACTAGCAAAGGGTTGGATGGGGTAAATGTTATGAGAGAAAAGTTAAGAGGGGAACTGGGTTAGGAAATTCAGGGAGGATGGTGGTGCTTCCATTTAAATATAGTGTGAGGGGAAGAAAACAGTGTCAGGGAAAGTCTCATTGAGAGGGTGCCATCGAACAAAGATATAAAGGAGGTGATGGGGGGGCGGGGGGATGATGCTATGATCAGGGGAAGAGCATTCCAGCAGAGGGATCAGCAAACACAAAGGCCCTGAGTTTATGTGCAGGTTTGAGGAGCAGCAGACCAATATGCCTTGAGTAGAGAGATAATGGAGAGAGTAGGAGATGGGGTGCTTTTTTTCTTTGCTTTTATTGTTTTGTAACAAGATGTCTGGAGATAGGTGGCCTCTGGCCTTGGTTCTCTCTGGCTCAGTATCACCCAATTCTTTTGGCCTTCCACTCATTCTTGTCACCCCACTGTCATAGGATGGCTGCCGCACTCGGGGCATTACACCCACATTCAAAGCAAAAAGAACAAGTAAGGGGAAGCTCCAGTCATGGGTGACTCTTCACCAGGAAAGCAAAAGCTTTCCCAGAAGTATCCCATGGTGTCACGTGGACACTCCCAGCTAAAAGGAAGGCTGGGGACATAAGAAACAGAAATTTCATAATTGCTCAGAAAATCATGATTTATACCGTGGTTACACCCAAACTCGGAGGTCTGTCAGCAAAGAAAACGGGAGAAGGAACATTGGGTAGGTGACTAGCTGCTGCCCCTTTTGGACAGGACATGGTGCTGCCCACTTTGTCACAGTCACCTCATTCCTTCTAATATGATACCCAGATTGCTTTATCCCATCGCCTGCTAGCCCTGGAACTCATCTGAGCTTTCAACACATGAATATAAGGCTCAGGATTAGGAAGTGTGAAAAAATTGCTCATTTTCCTCATTATCCATTATTTCCTTCTTCCTTCTAGTAACAAAGTAACCTTCACCTCAACATGTAGCAGGGTGTATAGTTGCCCAGCTCAAAATCCTATTTCCCAGCCTCCCTTGCAACAAGCTGGGTGTGACCATGCAAGTACTCACCACTGGAAAGTGAATAGAATTGATATAAGCATCACTTCTCCTACATCATTTCTTAAAAAAAAATAAAAAAAGTTGGTTGGCCAAAACAATGCCTCCTCTTTTCCTCCTTTCCCCACAGGCTAGGAATTTAGATGTAGAGGTGGAGAGCTTGCTTCGACAATGTCCTAGGAAAAACACAGAACAACAACCTTCTTGGATTCTTTGATCAACAGCCAAGTTCCCGGAAAGGACGGGAGTTAGGTAAGCTCCGGGAATCCCACTCACAGAAACATCTAGTTTATCTCGGGCAGATTCACCTGGAGGATTTGTTAAAACACAGATTGCTCAGAACTGTGTTGAAAGAATTGTGAGGAAATATCGGCCCTTGAGAGCAAGAGCAAAGAACGCCCAAGACCAGCTTCACTGGTATCAGAATTTCACATGTAATCAGACCTCGACATAAGGTAAATTCATTAATTTTATGAATTAATAAGTAAGTGTTTTAAGACCCTTAAATATTCAAGGCATACGGCATACAGGGGAGTGAGGGGGGCCAGAGATACATAAGATACAGTCTCTAACATAAAGTCCACATAGTTTGCTTTGGGATCTAAGGTATAAATACATAACAAATCATGTAACCGTGCAAAAGTCGAATAAATATTCAAAATTAAAAACAAAAAACACAGCCCTAGCTGGTTTGGCTCAGTGGATAAAGCATTGGCCTGTGGACTGAAGTGTCTCAGGTTCGATTCTGGTCAAGGGCACATGCCCAGGTTGCGGGCTCCATCCCCAGTGGGGGCGTGCATGAGGCAGCCAATCAGTGATTCTCTCTCATCTATGATTTTTCTATCTCTCTCTCCCTCTCCCTTCCTCTCTGAAATAAATAAAAATATATTTAAACACACACACACACACACACACACACATTGCTGGGGCCAACCCCGAGGATTTCCGATTCAGCAGCTGTAGGGTGGGGCCTTAGGAATCTGTATTTCTAACCAGTTTCCACATGCTGATGCTGCTGGCCCAGGGACCACATACAGAACCACTGTTCTGTAGTGAACCCATCCAAAGGACTCAGCTCCAGCTACCTGTTACCCTGCATGTCTCCGCCCACAGTTCCAAAGTCCTGAGAAAGCCCAGCGGACTCAGAGCTGAGCCACTGCTGTGGTCAGAGAGGCAGGCTCCTGTGATTGACAGCCCTGTGAGTATCACAAGGGGTGGCTGTGGGAGGGAAGTTCCCCCAAAAAGGAATGCTGGACACACAAAAACAGATGTCCTCAAAGTGGTAATTGGCCAAGCTGAATTCACAACTCTCTCCATCTGAAGCAAGATCTGCAGCAGCAACTTCTCTCAAGACAGAAAGTTTCAGAAGAGGAAATTTAAAATACAAAGGGGCAGGGGGCGAGGAAGGAAGGAGTAGGTAGACACCTATGAACCATTAATCTCTATTTAAACCCCATTCTGTTTTCCTGCTCAAGAGAGGAGGCTGGCAATCAATTTCACAGCTGCCTCCTAACTACAGAAGCCTGAGGAGGCAATAGACGCACTGGGCAGGCCACTGCCCAGGCCAACGTGTCATCGTGCATGCTGTAACTTTTCTCAGCCTCAGAGACACATACGCTAACAGATAGTTCCTAAAAAGCCAAAATTTTCTTCTTTTTTTTTTTTTTTTGCATCCTATTTTATATGCTCACAATGAATTTTCTCTTTCAGAAAACCTTTGTAAAGAAGAAAACTTTTTTTGTTGTTTTTTTTGTTAGCCTGAGCAACCAAAACTGTTGTTGAGTAAGTCTGGATTGTAATTTACCAAATTTTCTTCAAATGAGGCCCACCTGAGCTTATAAACCAGTATGATGCTTTAGCATAGCAACATGGATATGTTAAAAACATCATGTTACTGTCTACCTAGCAATCAATATAATACACCATATTAAAGGAAAAGGGACCAAAACCACACATGATTATTTCAATAGGTACATAAGAAACATCTGACAAAATCCAGCACCCTTTCATGATAAAAAACACTCAACAAACTAGGAATGAAAGGAAACTTTCTCACCTGAAAAAGGACATCTGCAAAAACTCCATAGCTAACATCTACTTGATAGTGAAAAACTAAATGTTTTCCCTTAAGGTCAGTTGTTACCATCAGTCGTTGCTAGGGGCTGGGGGAGGAGAAATAGGAAGCAACTGTTAATGGGTTAGAGTTTCCTTTTGGGGTGATGAAAATGTTCTGAAATTAGGTAGTAACCGTGGTTGCACAACCTTGTGAATGAATATACTAAAAACCACTGAACTGTACACTTTAAAATGGTGAGTTTTATGGTATATGAACTATATGTCAAGTAAAATTTATTTTTTAAAAAACATATATTTACACAGAGGCAACTTGTGATTCTATGTAGCTAGAAGGACAAAATGAAAAGAAAAAAACACTATATAGACACTTGCTTTGTACAGAAGGAAAATTGTTTGTTATATACTATTCCCTTTAGCTTCCCAAAAACTGGTACTAAAGGGAGCTCAGCCTAAGAATTGAATTTTGTTAAAGAAAATTCCCCTGTAATTTTCAAGTGTACTTGGCCCTTTATTTAGAAGGACACTTTAATGAGTGTCCAGTAGGTCAACTTCAGCCTGAAGTCTGGCTGTCTAGTGCAGAGAGGAAAATTTTTTGCATTAGAGTAAGAGAAGCTTTGGAGTAGACTGCTGGAAGCTAAATGAGGCCAGAGAGAAGCTGGAGGAGATGGTAGCAAGCTGACGCTCAAGGAGAGATGTAGCCCGAAAGAAATTCCTGGTCCTGGCCAGGTAGCTCAGTTAGTTAGAGCATTGTCCCAAGATGCAAAGCCTGTGGTTTGATCCCCAGTCAGGGCACAGACAAAAATCAAGAATCTCTCTCTCTCTTTCTCATACATAAAAATTAAAAAAAAAATTTAAAAAGAAGTTTGGCAATAATGGTCTGTGAAATTTTAGTGATGTCTTATATAATTTTAAGTTGGTTCCTATACTGTGCTGAACTCCCTCCACTTCCCCAAAACTTCAGTAGAACCTACTGAAGGGACACTTGGGAGAGTGAATCAGAAATACACCCAGAATGGGCTCAGAGGGCCTGCAAGAAAAAAGGGCATCGAAGGAGCCAGAGTAACTGAGAAATAAACTGTCCCTTGGCCCAGCAAGGGGGATGTCACCCACCTTTAAGCTATCCCTCGCCAGAATCACAGGAATTGGGAGGAGAAGGCTGGAGACCAAGTTAAGGATGGTTTTTGATTACATGTAATTTTAAATTGAAATTACTTAACCAATAAGGAAATTTTATTATTTCTCATAAAAAGAAGTCCTAAATTAGATGGGTTCTAGGATCTGTTAATTCAGCAGCTTAATCTGCTATCCACCGCTTGCTAGTTTGTCTTCGGGTCACCATCAATCCAGCCACCCTGTTTGCATATTAAAGTGAACCCATGCATTGGTCAGAATTCTTTTGGTTGCAAATGTCGGAAATCCGACCTAGACTGGCATATGGCAAATGAGACTCCACAGGGACTTGAGGCATGCCTGGATCCAGAGGGCATCAGAACTCTCCATCTTTCAGGTTTATTTGATTCTGCTTTACTCTCAGACAGGCAGCAGGATGCCTGCTGGCAGTGCCACGCTTTCAATGCCGTGTAAATCATGTTGGGGGGTGGGGTAGGAGGAAGAGAAAGAGAGAGAGATTTTCTTCTAATGTCCATATGACAAATTTCATGAAGGGATTCTGATTAAATCACAGGCCCACCCTGGACTAATCACTGGGAACAAAGACCTTGGATTGGCCAACCTTGGGTCTTCTGCCCACCCTTGGGACTTGGGGTCAGACCACCCAAACCGTAAAGACTGAACTGAATTGGGAGGAGGAGGAATTATTTCCCATAAGAAAACAGGCTGGCGAACTAAAAGGTGTCTGCTGCATCCCAGAAAGCTATAGGACACAAGGCACCAGGAGTCTAATGCAAACTGAGGCTTAATAGGCACCTTCTTAGAACCATGCCAGAGGAAGGAGGAAGGAGCTAGAAATTTTGGAAGGCCTAATTTGTGCTTTGCCAAGGTCACAGAGCTAAGACAATCACAGAGCCTGGATTTAAATCCTTGCCTTTGTAGTTCCAAAGTCCATGCACTTATCGCTGGGGGGACTGACAACAGGCAGAGGGGCCAAGACAGAGAAGAGCTATACATTGTGATAGACATAGATGTCCAGCAGGCACTACAGAAGAGCACTTAACCCAACCTGAGAGTATGAATCAGGGAAGGCTTTCTGGAGGAGGAGATATTTGAACGGGGCTTACAGGGTTGTAATTGTTTGTCAACAGAGTATAGAAGCAAGAAAAGCAGTTAGTCTGTGTAGCAAGAAAGGCCACAAAAAAAACATAGAGTTTTGCTTTGGACAGTCCCTGTCTCCATGAGGTGGGGACTTTCTTGACCTGTTTCCTTCCAGCTCTGTTCCATGCTATTGCACCATGACAAGCCATGAGGTTTCGGACACAGTTATTCACTCGGGGTTCCCAGAGCATTCTCAGTGGCTGGGACAGTGGCCTGCGTTCTGCCATCTACTCTGTGTGACCATTGGCTAATCACTTCCCCTCTTTGGGACGGAGTGATCTTATCCATAAAAGGATAGTGGGCAAATTGACTGATGGTTGTACATGTCTGTGACTGTACTAGAAACCTTTGACATAGGTAAATCGTACGGTATGTGAATTATATCCCAATAAAGCAGTTGTTGTTTTTTAAGTTATAGTGGGTGAGTGGTGAGGAAGTTTGGCCTAAAGGGTGTAGAGCTGTTGCACTCAAGGCTTTGCTGCTTTGTAGCCAGGTGACCTTGGTACTTTTCCATTTTCACTTTATCTCTCTGAACCTCATTTTCCTCAGTATAAGAGGAAAGAGAAGCTCATTTATCACATCTATTTCATATCTTGGATTCTATTTGGGATATTCTTGACACAGTGTAACTGCCCACCCAAGCCTATTTCTGGTCTCCCTGAGAACTGAGGCTTCCCCACACTGAGCCCTGCCCTCGAGGGAGTACACAATTTGGGGGTGCCCTGCCAGCCATGCTCCTCTTCTCTGAAAATGCCTTTCCCACAGAGTGGCCTTCAACAGTCCCCAGCCATAACTGAATGGACCGGGTGGACCCCTCACCCAAGCCGGACCAGTCACTTCTCTTCCCTAGAAATTTGGAATTAGGGATCTGAGCTGCGTTAGCAGGTGGCGCTGGAGCTGGAGGTGACGCTCAGGCCTGGGCAGCCATTTTGCAACCATGTGAATGGGGGTGCCGAGAAGCCAGAGAGGAGCCATGGAACAGACTCACAGAGAATGGCAAGGAACCCCGTAGCCTCAGAGAGAGAAGGAGAGAGGGTTCTACTTTGAATCCTGGTGCATATCCAGTCATTCACCAAAACTATTGTGTACCTACTATGCGTCATGCCCAGGGATACAGCAGTGAACAAGAGGGACAAATTTCTGCCCTTGGGAAAAATGGGAAACCACTGGAAGGTTTTGTGCCGGAAAACAACACAATCTTACCACCTTTTAAAAAGGTGACGCTGGCTGCTCTGTGACAAATGGGTTGTGAGGGGACAAGGAGAGAAGAGGAGCATATCACAACAGTCCAGGCAAGAGATGATGCTGGCCAGGATTAGGGTGGAGACAGGACTAGGGAGTGGGGAGGATGAGTGGAAATCTGGATCTATTTTGAAGTTTCCAGTTCCTGGTTCTAGTTCCTCATGAAACC